GAGATAGCCATTTGATATACAAAGTAGAATCACGTATAATCTTTTTTGTTACGTCTTGATTCCTTTAAAAATGAAGATGTTAGCAGCGTTTGAAATTTTGCCGTTTTTGAGGCGAAAATGGCGAACATGACGTCACTAAAACGTCAATTTCTCAAAAATTTTCCGACGGATTTCGCTCAAATTTTCAGGGAACGTGTCAAATTGATGTATGATAAGGTACTGAATGTTTGACGTCGCTGGCGTAACGCGTTTAGAAGTTATTGGCGAAAAACGGGAGGGGGGCAGATTCTGCCCCCCCCCCCCAGCGGGGCGCGGGTTAAGCAAGCACAAAATAGAAGCCATTCATGCAAACATTTCGTTTTCAAAAGTCAGATGATCAAAATAAGCTATCAGTCATGTTTATAGCACCCGATTGGCTGCAGCAATTTGGTAATAGAAGGTTAAACTTAATGGAGCCTTAATTGCAGGGCGGAAGTGTTAAGGTTTAACCCGGCAGGTGGTGGGCCTACCAGCCACCTTCCGCGCGGTGGGGGGGGCACTTTTTTGCCCCCCCCCCGTATCTCCGAAACTACTGGACGGATCCGGAAAATTCAAACGGCGGCGTTCGATAGCCCTGTCAAATTTGTCGAGGGAAACCAAATTTCATTGACCTCGGGGTCACCGATGACGTCACAGGTCATGTCAAAGATAAAATGTTTCACCGTTCACGGGGCTTCTAGGGAAAGCGCTATAACACCGAGTAAAACGCATTTTGTCGAAAATCAGCGATAAGGCGTCAGTTGTCTAGTACATGTGTTGCTATTAGAGGTCACTGGTCATACCAGGTCAGGTCACAGGTCAGGTCACCAAAGGTCACCAAGGGTCACCACATGAGCCCAACTTTACTAAGGTTATGCGATGCATGTTTTATGGCCAGTTTTTCATTTCCAACTCAATGGTGTTGGTTATAAGACCATCAGGTACGGTTTAGGTCACTTTGTGGTGGAGGTCAGGTCAAGGTCAGGTCAAAAAAGGTCAAATTTCAAAGTTGATATTTTTGCATAAAATGGATATCGATTCGATGCAACTCGTCACGGGGATTCTAATAGTGGTCTTCGTTTTGCGCTACGAGGTCTAGAATTGCTAAAAATTGAGTTTGAAAATTTGACGTCATCAATTTTGAGCAGTTTTTTCGCTATAACTTGGCCAAAAAAAAGAGGTATCGATCTCAAATTTTGTATGTAGATAGAAAGTGGTAGGGGCTATTACATATATTCTGATTTTTTCGAAATTCAAAAAACTTTTTGGATTTTTCGGCTATTGTATTCAAAAAATTTATTTTTTGATTTTTGGGGGTCAAAATCCAAAAAAAAATTCGAAAAACCGAAATAGCAGTTTTGTAGCCCTTTTATTTCCACATTTTTTATTTAAGAAACATTTTCTGTATCTCTAAAGCTGTAGGCCTAACAGCTCTTCCCGCAAAACCTTTTTTTGAGTCGAAAATGGCAAAAATGACGTCACTCTGACGTCATTAGCGGCCAACCTATCATAGCCTTTGGAAAAAAATTTTGGTCACCATGTGCGCTAGCTGCTCCCGGGAGGGTACTGAAAGTTTGGTAACGATCGGCGCAGCGGTTCTCGAGATATATCGAAAAAACTAAGGGGGGCAAAAAATGCCCCCCCCCCACCGCCTGGAAGGTTAATTCGTGTGTTATGCACAGGGGCCAGGGGCTAGCACTTAGCAGAATATACTTTTGTATTTATGTGTAAGATAGCAAGTGTAGTATGCTGCAGCCGATCCTGACTTTAAAAACTTTAATAATATTTGTCTATGTGCGATTCTTTCATTATCCCGTGCCGTGCAGATGGTCTGAATTTTTAATGGAGTGCTGCGTTGGGAGCGTTTTCACGCCCCCGTCTAATTCAGCTTCTAGGCCACGGACGACACACGCTAAGCGGCATTCGAAAAAACGTCAAAAATAATGACGAAAGTATAGATATAATTTCAGGTCAGGTCAAATGTAAGGTCACCAGAGGCAATCAAAGGTCAAATTTTTCCTATCTTGAAAATTGTCGATAAATTCGCAGATACCTCGCAACGAATAGATCTATAACGCCGCGGTAAGAGCATTCCATAGCTCTTTTAAGGTTCCTTCTAAGGCTTGTCCCATATCTGACCTACGATCAACGGCTTTGACTCCAGGACATAAACGAAACTTAAGTTTTTTTCCGGAAAGCTGTTCTGAAAATAGCTTTTGACTCGCAACTGGCACGACATTTATCACGACACCGTGTTCCTCTTGTCGAGACGCGTCCAATGAACTATAATTTGACCTTAACCCGCGCCCTGGTGGGGTCTGTTTAAAACGCGACCTGGTGGGGGGGTCTATTTTTTGTCCCCCTCGTATCTCCGAAACTGATAGACGAATCCGCAAAATTCAAATAGCGTTCGAAAGTCCTGTCACATTTGTCGAGCGAACTTCAATTTCATTGACCTCGGGGTCACCGATGACGTCACAGGTCAGGTCAAAAATAAAATATTTTGCAGGTCACGGTTCCTTTAGGGAATGCGCTATAACATCGTGTAAAACGCATTTCATCGAAAATAAACGATAGGGAGTCAGTTGCTTAGTACATATATTGCTATTAGAGGTCACTGATAATACCAGGTCAGGTCACAGGTCAGGTCACCAAGGGTCAGCACATTACCCCAATTTCACTAGGGCTGTGTGATGCATGTTTATGGCCAATTTTTCATTTCAAACTAAATGGTGTTGGTTTTAAGAACATCAGGAACGGTTTCGATCACTCCCTGGTGGAGGTCAGGTCAATGTCAGATCAAAAAAGGTCAAATTTTTAAGTTGATATTTTTGCATAAAATGGGTATTGAATCGATGCAGCACGTCACGGCGAGTCTAATGGTGGTCTTTGGTTTGCGCTACGTGGTCTAGAATTGTTTAAAAATTGAGTTTGAATATTTGACGTCATCAATTTCAAACAATTTTTTGCTATAGCTTGGTCAAAAAAAAAGAGTTATCGATCTAAAATGTGGTATGTGAATAGAAGTCGGTAGAGGCTATCATATATTCCGTTGTTTTTCGAAAATCAAAAAACTTTTTGGATTTGTCGGCAATTTTATTTAAATTTTTTTTTATTTTTGGGGTCAAAATTCAACAACTTCAAAATTTCCAGGTAGCAGTTTTGTAGCCCTAATAATTCTACGCCTTGTATGTCTTGAATGTTTTTCTGTATCGTTAAAGCTATAGGCCTGACAGCTCTTCCCGCGAAACCTTTTTTGGGCCGAAAACGGCAGAACATGACGTCACTATGACGTCATTTGCGGACAACCTGTCATAGCCTTTGGAAAAAAAATGGTCACAATGTGTAAAAGTGATACCCGGGAGGGTACTGAAAGTTTGGTAATGATTGGCGCAGCGATTCTGGAGATATTTCGAAAAGTCTGGAGGGGGCAAAAAATAGCCCCCCTTACCAGGGCCCGGGTCCTTCGCCCCAGTGGGGGGGGGGCATATGTTACCACCCTGTCGCGTTTTTTGCGTGTGAATAAAAAAAACGTGGCTCGTAGCTCCGTGCCGCTTAGAGTAGCTTTTTGCACATCAATTTTGGATAATGGTGAAAATTTTGACCCCAGGTCATATCAGGTCAGGTCACCAGGTCAAGTTAACTGACCAAGCCTAAAAGAGTTTGCAATCATGACCAGCCTGCAGTGTTTGTCAGAGAGGTTTAAACTTGGTTGATTGCATGATATTATGGGTGCCTACAATTTGTATACCTATCTCGGATTTTTTATATGCGTGACCTAAGGTCAGGTCAGTGGCGTGACCTTTCCATTATAATCAATGTAGAAAAACGAAAATGCCTCTAGATCCGTGTGTACGCACAGGAACAGTCCAAATATTTCAGAATCACAATGATTTGGACCACCCGTGACGACCAAGGTGTCTTTTTTGCTGATAGCCTCTAGAAAGGTCATCTGAGGTCATTTGAGGCTACAAACAGCTTTTTGCCAATAACTCTCGATTGGAAAGAGATGTAACGCTGGAGTAGGCCTCATTGTGTTTGTCTTGCCGAGACACATCGACTGATATGCAACATGACCTTTTTCGGTCAGGCCATGACCTTGACCTGAGGTCAAATTTTGAAGTTGACCTTTCAAGGTCAAATTATAGTTCATTCGACGCGTCTCGGCGAGAGGAACACGATCCTGGCAATGGAAACGTCCTAGCTTTTTTAGTCAAAAGTTATTGTCGAAAAACACTTTTCGAAAAAACAGCTGTTTTTTAGTTTTTGTCCTCTGGAGTCTTAACGGTTGACCTGAGGTCATTTTTGCTGATGACCTTATTAAAAGAAGAGCTCAGAAGCTATCCATTGCTTTTCCCAGCGTTTTTCTAGCTATCATAGTTCCTGAGATAACGGCATGTTTTCTGAAACATATGACAATTCACAAATTTTGACCTTTGATGACCTCTGGTGAACCTAATATTGCTCTAAGATGAAAAATGACTGAAATGCTTTCAAACGTACGCACCGAGAGCTATCGACTGCTTTTTACCGTGTCTTTCTATCCCTCTTCGTTTTTGAGATAGAGGTGGGTGGTAACATATGTCCCCCCCCCCCCCCACTAGGGCGAAGTTGTCTGAGACCGCCACTGGGGCGCGGGTTAAGTTCTATCGACGAGTTTCATATGACTGAACAATTTCTCTTTAAGCCCATAGGCTTAGCACTAGCTAGGGAATTCCTGAGATATTGACGATGCCAGTTGAGCTTGCAAGATGTCAGGCAAGCGTGCGATGACCCTTCAACATTGCGCAGCAAATCCGAAAAGAATCACTTTTTTTAAATCGAGGCTAGGAGTTTTGGAATATCAAAACAGAAATGGGTACTGAGTAGTATTTTCCCAGAATACGCAATGTCACTTCTCTGGGTTCGGCGGGCGACAAAACCACAGTAACAGTGCAACTGCAGGGGCGCGAGCTTCTTTGTTCAGAAACTTATCGATTATATCAGATTCACAATATATTTCAAAAATTACCCATTGCTTCAACGGACATCACGGGCATATATAGAACATCCCCACAACACGACACATAAATATTACAAACATTCACCAATAAGAAGCAAGTGATATCATTCCAATAATCACTCATGCTAATACACTTCATAGCCTCACTATCGTTACTTCTCACTTGCCGTAAGCAGGACTCGGAGCTCCGTACGACTCCTCAGGCTTGGGAGCGGGGCCGTATGAAGTGGACGGCTCGTAGGCAGGAGCAGGCTTGTAAGACGGCTTGTAGACGGGAGCAGGCTTGTAAGAAGGAGCGGGTTTGTAAGGAGCAGGCTCATAAGAGGGCGCGGGCTTGTAAGGAGCAGGCTCATACGAAGGAGCAGGCTTGTAGGCAGGAGCAGGTTTGTACGTGGGGGCAGGCTTGTAAGATGTAGCAGGCTTGTACGGAGCAGGCTCATACGAGGGGGCAGGCTTGTAGGCAGGAGCGGGTTTGTAGACGGGAGCAGGCTTGTAGACGGGAGCAGGCTTGTAGGCGGGAGCGGGCCGGTAAGAAGGAGCGGGCTTGGGCTGGTAAGACGGGGCCGGCTTGTAAGAGGGAGCTGGCTGATACGACGGTGCGGGACGATAGGAGGGCGCCGGAGAGTAGCTACCGCTGTGCTCGGGGTACTGGGCCTCGCCCTCGTAGGTGACCTCGGCGTTGTATCCGCCGTAGCCCTCGTTGTCGGCCGTGTACGTGACGTGCTGGACTCGGCCGTCGGGCAGGTTCACCGAGTAGGAGCCCTGCACCACCTTGGTGTCGCTGTTCTCGTTCTGCGAGAACACGGTGCCCGTGTAGTGGTCGTTGACGGCGTACTCGAACTGGTACGGCTGCGCGTAATACTGAGGCTCCTGGTACGACGCGGCGTAGGAGGGCCTCTGGGCGTAGGATGGTGCCGGCTTGTAGGCGGGCTCAGGCCTATAGGCGGGCTTGGGGCTGTAAGCCGGCTTAGGTCTGTAGGCGGGCTCCGGAGGGCTGTAGGCAGGCGGTGGCGGAGCTCCGTAGGACTGGCCGCGGACGCTGGCAGCCACCGACAGCACGGCGGCAACAACAAACACCTGGAACACATGGACCGGATTAGTATAAAGACTTAACAGCGTTTATCTTTGTGTTGCGTGAACAGAAAGTTATGCATCGCCTGGAGCTTAAAGGGACCCTCCCACCTTCAAAAAAGTTAATGAATTGGCACGAAAGTGATGTCGCTTGGTTCAGAAAGAGCGAAAACGAATATCTACCAAATTTCATCGAAAAATATTCACCGGTTATTAAGATATTAGACTTTTACTTTTGTTTACTTTTTGGAATCTCCGCTGTTCCTAGCGACTTTATTTGAAAGTGCGGCATTTGTTGCGCGCAAAGCAGCATATACCACCGCGTGCTACCAAACGTTTTAGTAAAAGATTTAAAAATCGTTAGATCTCCGCTGACGTCACAAATTCTAAGGGGGCATACCAATGCACTAGCCCCTTAGAATCCGAAAACTGCAAGTTTGAAATTCCATATCTCCGAATTAAAGCATTTGTCGATGTTGTGAGTGCCCAAACCGGTATTTGCAGGCCATGGCCACCAATTTGGCTATCTCAACTCAAAACTAATGTTAAGGTGGGAGTGTCCCTTTAACGCCAGTGAACCATACGCGCAAGGTAGTTACTATACATCTCCGTTCAAACCCGTATTTGGTCACCCGCTGGCCGCTAAGTCTCGGCTGTCCACTGTTCCACCATCTTACCTTCATCTTGTCCGTGTGTGTGCTCCTCAGGTCTGTGTTCTTGCGTCGCTGGGTCTGCGGAGCGACTGATGCTCTGTGCCGACGCGGTGCGCCTTATGTACGGCGTGTGGGCCGGGCGGGGTCAGCCAGCCAGCCTGCGGCCACGGCGTGAATGGGGCCGCTCCCTGCTCTCAGCTCGGGGTACTCTGGTCTCACGCCAATGGGGCACTGGCGCTGGAAGAGGTCGCTCGGGGCGGCCTCTCCCGCTCCTGCGAACTATGGCACCATTGACAGTGCTAACAGGGCCTGAACCCTGAAGTCTGACCGTGACGTACTTGATGACCATGGGTGCCGGTGCCCCGTATCTCCTAGCCAGCTCAATGCTCCACACTTTGCTCATTTCAATGAGAAGCCGAGTAGGTTGAAGGTTATGAATCAGTGACACGGAAATTGTAACACAAAGACGAGATATTTTATCGTGAGATCACGTCATACCAGCCATGCAAATCATGTTAGTCATACCGAGCGTTGGCGATTCGACGGGGCACCATCAGATACATTCATACATTCGACGCATTTGGAAATTAGGCAACGGCCCACTAATTGGTATCTTATCCCGCGCCCCGTTGAGGTCTGGCAGGTTCCACGTCCTCTTGGGGGGGGGGGGGTACCCAAAGGGCCCCCTACGTATCTCCGGAACCAATAGCCGGATCGGAAAAATTCAAACGGCATTCGAAAGAGCTCATCGAGATGCACAAGAGAAGATATCGATGACCTTGATATTTGACCTGTGACGTCACAGGGAGGTCAGACAAGGTCAAATCTGTCCAATTTACAGTGACAAGAAGTCGTTCATAAAAATGAAATCTAAGTTTTCAAAATGAGTCTGGATATGATGTATATGATAGATCTGGCATGTGGATAGTCACCTGAGTGGATGATGACCTGTGACATCACAACAGAGGTCAGCCTCGACCAATCAGAAAACGTTCGTTAATCGTAAGGAAAGGCGTGTTAATATATATATATATATATATATATATATATATATATATATATATATATATATATATATTACCATAGAAACATCCTTGACCATTTTTCTTGGAACTATGACGTCACAGGAAGGTCAAATAAGGTCAAATTGTACCGGTTTACAACGAAAAACAATTGTTTACGTAAAAGTGAGTTTACTGACGTGAAGGATCACATTCAGTCAGGAAGAGGTTGATAAGTATCATAAATATTACTCCTGACTGATTTCAAGCACAAATACCTAAAATATTGTGAAGTCATAAGAACAGTCGCTACTTTTTCAGTTATTCAAATGGCTATATCTCTGGCAGTTTTACAGATATTTTGTTAATTTTTGGCATGTGTACCTAAGGGGTTCTCTGACATATATTCCGGTTTTTAAAAATTTCCTCCAAATTTAAAAAAAATATCTCAAGAAATCTAAATTGAGTTAGAAAATCCCTAGATAAGGGATTTTTATATTTTAAAAATTTCGAGATAGCTATTTTGTTTGCAATGTTTTTTATACCCACGGTCCAATTTTTGAGCCACTAAGTTAAAAATATGATTTTCTGCGATTTTTCTTCGAGAACAACTTTTTCGACGAAAAATCGCCGAACATGAGCTCAGTTTGACCTCTATAGCTCGTGACCTGAGATGACCTGGGTCCTGATTTTTTTCAGGAGTTGTGTAAAATTGATGTACGGAGAGGTACTGAAAGTTTCAAGTCGAAATATTCCCAGCCGTTTCTGAGTTACCTGCGAAACAGGGGGCCCTTTGGAGTTTGGACACCCCCCCCCCCCCCCACGGGTCGCGCGTTATCACAAAGCAAGCCAGAAGGCAGGAAGTTGGCATCATTGGTGTGGGACTACTTAGCCTTCTCAAACCTTCATTTATCCTACCTGGCGAACGACGTGGCCTTTCAGCTCCTGGCCCAGTGCTAAACATTGTGGTTGTCACGGGGTCACGGTCTCGTCTTCAGGCCGGGTGGGAATTCTGCCATCGACCCTCCCGACACGTCAGTGAGCCGTGGGCGCGGCGCCGTGCCGGCTCCCAGCCACTGAGAGACCGTGCCCTCGGCTCTGCCGACTGACCTTGCGGCACGCGCGGACCGTACGCCGCAGTGTGCCGAGTATTTTGTCCATGATGCGCCCGGCCGTCGGCCGCATAAGCAGGAAGAACAATGGAGACAGTACATAGATACTGGTCAGATAGGAGGGCCCGAGTTACGTGATAACGCATTTCTGGGATGGTGTAGTACATGGAATAGATGGCTGAATAGATAGCTATAAGTAGCTATAGGCTAGAGTAGTAAGGTAATCGAAGGGGAGTCACGAGTGCCCCCCCCCCCCCCTGGGTTTTTCGCGATAGTTCCGAACACGCAGACGATAGAGCTGAAACTTGGCACACCCGACCTCTGATTCAAGCCGGATCTTGTGACGCCAACTGCATTTTCCGGTCAGGCCGGTCATGTGATCTCACCATTATAAGTCAATGGGGACAAATGAAAGTGTTATTTTGGCACCGGAAACGATCTCAAACTGTCTCAAGCACACGGAATTGTGACTTCATGCTTCCTTGCAGTTGCATGGTCCGATGCCTTACTTTTGCATTGCTGACCTTGCGTTGACACTACTAGGTCATCAGAGTTTCTCTTCCATAACCCGCACCCTGCTACCCGCTGGGCCATTCAGCCATACGCGCCCTGCTGGGGGGGAGGGGCAGATTCTACCCCCCCCCCCGTCTAACTTCCGAACTGATGGTCGTAGAAAGACGGGGAAAACGGCAATCGAAAGCTATCAACAAAGCGGATCTTAAGAGCCGATTTTTTAAGTAGGTCAGAGGTCAGGTCAAGGGTACAAAATGCAAGTTTCTACAGTATCGGCCTTGCACCGTAGTTGCCGAAGAATGGACTGAGACTGGTTGCCCAAAACGTGTTCTTAGGCTACCAAGACAATATCCGTTGCATATCATATCATGCAAGGTCAAGGTCAAGGTCAAGGTCAGGTCAGGTCAGGTCACCAAAAACGAAATATAGAAAAGGGCACGTGCGACACATGTTTTATGCGTCATTTTATTCATAGAATCCAATAGGCACACTCAATAAGTGATATGGACCACGTCAGGATGAATTTCAGGTCGAGGTCAGGTCAAGGTCAGGTCAAAGGAGGTCAAATAATTTTGAAGTTGGTTGTTAAGACCTAAAAAGGTGTCGATCTGATGCAGTTTTTCACGGCGAATCGAATTGTGCTATTTTGGTTTCCGTACGAGGTCTAGAACGTCCAAAAAAATCATTTTTCAAAAATTTTGTGTGTCGTGACGTCATAAATTTTTTTAATAACTCCCACATTTTTCAGCCGATTCTTCTTAAAAATTGGTATCTAGCTGCACATAGACCACTTCTGTGACATATATTCAGGTTTTTTCGATACACTCAAAATTTTGGATTTTATCATTATTTTCCCAAAAAAGTCAGTTTTTTGAAAAAGGGCTGAAATCCAAAATTTTCAAAAACAAAACGAGATAGCCATTTGATAGACAAAGTAGAATCACGTATAACCTTTTTTGTTACGTCTTGATTTCTTAAAAAATGAAGATGTTAGCGGCGTTTGAAGTTTTGCCGTTTTTGAGACAAAAATGGCGTGACATGACGTCACTTAAACGTCATTTACTCAAATATTTTGCGGCGGATTTCGCTCAAATTTTCAGGGAACGTGTCAAATTGATGTATGATAAGGTACTGAAAGTTTGACGTTACTGGCGTAACGTGTTTAGAAGTTATTGGCGAAAAACGGGGGAGAAGATTCTGCCCCCGCCCCTCAGCGGGGCGCGGGATAACTCCCGATCAAATTGAGCTAGCGAGTTGGTAAGGCCACCAATGCTTTTTTACAATTTATGCTCTGGCCACCGGCTGAGAAGTCCGATCAGGCTCATCATTGGTTTACGCACTCCTTGATATATGCCGTAAATACCCTGAGGGAACAGAACGTTTCCTTCGAATTTTTCAGGTCAAGGCCAGGTCATCCTAGGTCACGAAAATTGTATATCATGTATCGGTCACGTGCCGCATGTTTTATGGTCCATTTTACACGTAGATTTCGAAAATAATTTCGTCTGTGTCATTTGAGGTCATTTCAGCTGAATTTACTGGAGGTCAGGTCAATTTCAGGTCAGAAAAGGTCAAATTTCGAAAATGAAATTTTTCAACAAAAAATGTGCCTATCAGATGCAGTTTGAGCTCAGGAACCCGATGGTGCCATTTATGTTGCTGTACAATGTCAAGAACGTACTGATATATGGTTTTGAAAATATATATAATTGTAAAATTTTGACAATAATGCAACTAACTTGGCTATTTCTGAAGATATTGGGCTAAAACTTGCTAGAGTAGTTCATTAGTGTTCTATCACATACGTTCCGTTTTTTGCGAAAAATCAAGAACTTTTTGAAAAATCAAAAAAAAATATTTTTTTTTGTAATTACATAGATATATTTCTCCAAATTTAAAACTTTGACAATTCGAAATACCAGTTTGATAGCTACGTGTATTTGCAGTCCACTGATGCAAAGAAATTGGATCTATATAGTTTTAAAGGGACCCTCCCACCTTAACACTAGATGCCGGCAGCGCTCTTGCGTTGCCTTGGGCCAGAATTGGAGGAACGGTACTGAGGGCACACACCGGGCAAAACCACCGAAACCCAGACTGAGCTTGGACTGAACCTGAAACCAACCGAAACATCCCAAAAATGCTTGAAAGCACGCGAGATTGGTGTGGAGATCTACCTACAGTAAGATATGAATTAACTGCACGTGCATAGTTCATGTCCCAGGCACCCCAGTGCAGTCATTTTCATAACATCATGTAGCGTGTGTCTAGTTCTATCAGTGTACCGACTTTTGTGTCGCTAGATCGACGTTTCCCGGGATCAGAGGATCCCTCGTCAAAACCGTTATCCGCCCCCCGCACGCGCAGCTTGCACCCCTCGGATATTATCTCGCCGGAATGTCGTGATCAAATGTATTCTTCTTATGACCTGCAAGTTTTGAACCAGTTAGAGCTGCCGTTTACCCTGCAGGCGTGGCAACGTACGAAGGGGTGCAATCGGCTTGCACGTGCATAGCTCATGCACCACAGAGTTTAGCTCAACCAAATGTGCATTATTTTGGAGGCCTTGCCTGGGACTACCATTGAACCGATTTTGAGGTTGATAGCTTAAAATTTCTTTGAGCCAGAGGATCTCACGTCAAAACGGTTTTCCGACCCCAGCACGTGCAGCCTGCACCCCTCGCAGACGGTGACCCCCCTGGAAACTGGTTCAAGGTGTTACCGATGTGTCCCGCCAGTATGGCTTTGCCCGTGACCTCGGGTTGAC